CAAAAGCGACGTCCGCCTCTGCCGTCCAGTCGATCGCCTGGACGGGGGTCTTGCCCTTCAATGCTTCATACAGCGGCCGCATGATGTGTGCGGCCCGGGCGATTAAACGGTGGTAGAAGGTCACCATCCCCAGAAATTCACGGAGCGACCGGGCTGTGAGCGGGCGAGGAAAAGTCGCAACAGCCTCCACCTTTGCCGGCAGAGGTGCCGCACCGCCCTTGGTGACGCGGTGCCCCAGGAAATCAATGTCAGACACCCCGAACTGGCACTTTGCAGGATTGATGATTAATCCATGTTCGTTGAGCCGCGTGAAAAGGGCTCGGAGGTGGGACAGGTGCTCCTGCACTGAAGCGCTGGCGACGAGTATGTCGTTGAGGTAGACAAACACAAACGGCAGGTCCCGCAGCACCGAATCCATCAGGCGCTGGAACGTCTGAGCAGCATTCTTGAGTCCAAAAGGCATCCGCAGGAACTCAAAGAGTCCAAAAGGCGTTATCACTGCTGTCTTGGGAATGTCCAGAGGGTGCATGGGCACCTGGTGGTATCCACGCACTAGGTCCACCTTGGAAAACACCCCCGTACCGGCCAGATGCGCCGAAAAGTCCTGAATGTGCGGCACCGGATAGCGGTCAGGCGTAGTGGCGTCGTTGAGTCGGCGGTAATCCCCGCACGGGCGGAACCCGCCGTTCGGTTTGGGGACGACGTGCAGGGGGGAAGCCCAAGGACTGTCGGAGCGGCGGACAATGCCCAGGCGCTCCATGGTTGCGAACTCCGCCCTCGCTACAGCCAGCTTAGAAGGGTTCAACCGCCGGGCCCTGGCGTAGACAGGAGGCCCCTCGGTAGTGACGTGGTGCTCCACGCCATGCTTAGTGGTAAGCGCAGAGAAGGTGGGCAGCGACAGGTCTGGAAACTCGGCCAACAGTCTGAGAAACGTGCCTGCCCCCGACAGATATGCTGCGCTGCCAAGTGTGCACACAAGGGAAGAAAACGTTAAGGCATCAACCAAACGCCCACTAAGAGTCCATGAGCACACAAAAAATCCGCTCCGAGGAGGGGAAAATAAATGTCTGCTGTCACAAAATCCCAGCTGAAACGCTGTCCTCCGATGCACAAACACATAGGCCTCACGCCGTACGTGCGAATGGGACCACCGTTAGCCGTCGTCAATCGCGGTCCGTGCCCACCCCGGGTGACGTCTTCACTCGACGCTGGAACTACGCTCCGTTGAGCGGCCGTGTCACACAGAAACAGGCTCCCCGAAACGCTGTCGCTGACGAAGAGGAGCCTGCACGTGCCGCCGATGCTCAGGGCCACTACTGAGCGCCGGCCCCCCCGTTTCCCGGGGGTTTGTAGCTGCACGGGGCGATGCATTTCTTCGCCATTGTCCCGAAACGTGCGTGGTAAAAGCACTCTCCGGTGTCTCCACGCCGGCTCGATACAGCCGTATCCTGCCTCCGCCACGCTTTCTTGACTGCAGATGGGCCGCTGAGCGTCGCGGCTAACGTCTCTGCACCGGGCTGTTGTGTAGCCAGGAAAAAAACGATCCGCTTCCTCAGCCAAGGCCAGCGTCGTCTGGACCCGGGGAGGCAAGTGACGCAGGAAAATCTCCGGGAATAAAATCCGGGGATCTTCCCCCCCTAGCAGATTTAGCATTTTCTCCATTAGCTGGGAAGGCTTGCTGTCTCCTAGGCCTTGAATGTCAAGTAACTGGCGAGCCCTCTTCTTAGCAGATAAGCTAAATGTCTTAAGGAGAAGGGCCTTAATCGCCTCATATTTGCCATGGTGTGGGGGGTCTGTGATAAATCCCACCAACCTGGACGACGTGGAGCTCCCCAGCGCTGCTACCACATGGTAGTATTTCAGGTCCCCGTCACGGACCTGTTGGCAGGCGAAATGTGCCTCCACGTGTGCGAACCATGGTTGCATTCCAATAGTCCATTTAGCTTAGGAACTTTCCTAACGGAGTGAAATGACCCGGAAGTACGTCACTGGCAGCCATGATAAGTGCCGTTCCAATTCTCCAAATGAAAGGAAAGGAGGTTTCAAACTTCCTTTATAACCTCCTTTAGCTTAGGAACCACTGGACCTCCCTAACCGAAAGGAGAGGAGAAAATGCTGCCCCACAATGCATTGCAGCCGCAGCATTTGCCATCACAACAGTCGCCCGTTCACGGAAACAACCGATTATGACCGAGAAATTATATCATGAAAGTTACGGTGCTTATTAAGCATTTTAAAACGTATGTGGTAAGTTGCCAAAGTGCTTTTTTCTGAACGTTCATCAGTATTATAATCAAAAAGAGAAATATGAACGTTAGTTTTTACTGAAATGATCAAATAAAGTCAACATCTCACAGTCTTTACTGAGCTGTGTGGGGTTTGTTCAACTTTTAAAAGATGTTTGAATGGTGATATACACAGTGATAGATGTTAAGGACTAACGTTTATAATAAATACATTTATGATTTTAAGATATTTTCATACAATCATACGTATTGGGATCATTTGTATTAATGTGGACCGGAGGGAGAGGGTGACGAGCATAAGTTTCACTTTCCTTTTTTATTTCAATTCCAACTTTAGTCATGAAGAATATGTTTCTCTGTTGTCCACGTTCATAAAGCATAACACAACAGCATCAGAGCACGGTGCAGAGTCTCTAGATGAGTTTACAGTAGTCCCTCGTTCTTATTAAACATCCATGTTGTAGTCCGCTGTATAGTCAACTGTAGTTTCCCCACAGCAGCAGACGCACATTCATGACGTCCGCTGGCGCATCATAAACACGTCGGATAGTGAAAGTGCATTCGGATTCTCTAAAGTACCGCGGTCTCTTCTCCTAAGTCCTTTTGAATTCTCCTATCCACTATCCCTTAACCCCGTGACGTTTCACTCAGAGGTCAAGGAATAGGAGATAGGGTTAGAATTTAGGAGCTGATTTTTGGATTATCGGAACGCAACCCATGCCTCCGCGGCGTGCTCCCAGAATTCCGGCACCTTTATGAAAACATCGCGCTCAGCCATGTTCGTTAATTTTCCGGAAACTTTCTCGGAAAAGTCAGGGTCACCAGTGTAGTGCCGTGAAAAGAGAGTCGGAGGTGGTGTATTAAGAATGGAGTTCCAATCTTTATTATCCATTCTTATCAGAGAGGTTAACACATGCACTGCTCTGCCTGATGAGATAGCAGGAATGGCAGCTAAAGCTACAGGTGTTCCCCACTAAAGGGTCCGTGTGGCAACACAATAAGCAAGGTGAATTATGGTCCCACATGGTGTCACCACAGTCCACAGTTTACTTGTCCAGGCTTTACTTCTGTCCAGTTACACCTGTCTGTTTCTCCAAACTTGCCAACCTGCATCTACTGAAGGAAATACACTGATCCTGGATATGTGCCTCATACAACCCCACTTAAAAAAATTAATTGAACTATACCTTTAAGTATGGCCTGACAAATCTGCGGTGTGGGGATAGGCGCCTAATCTTAGCTGCTCAACAGCTCCAGCATCACTTAAAATCCTGTGTTATTGGTGACATTTTTCCAGGTCAACTTCTAAGACCTCAGTAAAGATGCTTGCTGTGATATATGGAAATCTAATTTCTAACATAAGTCTTTAGGTGCTAGGGGGGAGTTTCATACAGCAGGTATTGAGTCGGTGGTCTCCAGTGATGCTGCTTCCTTCTACGGTTACCACATGGAAGACTTCTAGTTCTTTTTTCTAATATTTTTGTTAGACATTTTTTAATTAAAGCCAGATTATGTTTTCCACTTCTTAAAGAAGCCTAGTGAAAATCACACACAACAAAGTGGAAAAGTCTTGGCCAACGCTAATGCTACTACGCTGACTGGAATGTATGTAATCCCATGTTAGAATATGTGTGTGTGTGTGTGTGTGTGTGTATGTGTGTGTGTGTGTGTGGACCGAGCGCAGTGGGCCAAATACCTGGCATGTGAACTCTTGCAGATTAGTACTCCAGTTTCTAGAGGCCTTAGGGGCCAGGTCAATACGCAAAAAAAAAATGCAACGATGTGTGTCATGGATACACACACATAATGCATAATTTACATACAGCCACACTCAAACGATTGTGCTTTTCGGGTGAAAAAAAACATGTTTAGAGGTGCAATGTAGGTCACCGCTACAGAGAGGAAGAGAGTGTATTTGTTCAACTGCATTTCCGGATTCATGTGGGTATGTTTGTGTTCGTGGCAGCATGTCCGTAGCTATGTGTGCGTACATGTGCTTGAGCGTGTGAACATATGTGTCTTTGTATGTGCGCTCAGCGGTGTCCGGCAGGGGGCTGTAGGTCTTGTTTATGTAAGGCGGAGGGTTAAAGGTTAGGGGCGAGCGGGGCGGAGCCTGGGTCCGCTCGGGGGCCTCCAGTCTCCAACACCATTCAGCCACTTGACTAATGGCTCAGGAGATGAGGGTGTTAAGTCTCAACCTGAATCGGTTTTCCTCTCTCCCCCCTTCTCTTTCACTTATGTACGCATGGAAATACAGTGCATGTTGCATTCAGGTGAAAACAGACTTTCAGGCATGCTTCCAAAAACATAAAGAGACATGAAACACATACAAAGTGACACAAAACCACTAAAAAAGAGACACAAAATGAAAAGAAAGAGATGCAAAACAACTACAAAGTAACTGAAAATAAACAACCACAAAGACACAAAATAACTTTAAAGAGACATAACATGACAACAAAGAGATTCAAAACCACCACAAAGACACAAACAACTACAAAGAGACAGAAAGAGAAGCGACATGACAACAAAGAAAAAAGGAACAACCACAAAGACACAAAACTACTACAAAGAGGCACTAAACAATCAGAAAAGTATATACTACTCAAACAGGAGAAAATAGGATTAAAAACCCTGTGTAGGTTTATGCAAAGCATGCAGGGTTACATGCGGAACATTGTTGTATTCCAGCACAAACAGTACCACAGCATGTTGGTATATGTGAGGATGTGCAGACAGAAAAGGCCACTGTACCTGGAGATCCTGCTAATGATTCAGCCCTACTGACCACAAAGGTACGAGACAGGGACAGAGGCACTGAGGGGGGGATATCAAAGGAGAAGGGAAATGTGTTCAAGTTGAGAAACAATCGATGCATATACACACATGGTAAATGTGGATTCAATCTGGTAGGGAAGCCTCATCAACAGCAGGCACAACAGGAGCAAAGTTGTCAAGTCTCATCATAAAGTATTTGATTTCTTTCTTGATCTTTGAGTTCCTGCACACATGACAAGAAAAAGTATTCTCCTATTTCACCAGTAGGTGTCTCTAAGATCTCATCACCGATGTGAATCAGAAAAAGGGCTGAGAATAATAGGACTGTAGTTTATGAATGGACTGAGAGGATCACTAGGCTTTGTTATGATGTCACTGCAGGACGGCAGTCAGTATTACAATCATAGTATGTCAACATTCATCAGAGGGAAATGTAGGCCTAAAATCACAGAAGGTGCTTAACTTAACTCATGGGGCAATGTGAAGGCAGAAATTGGACAAGTCAAATTTGATCCATATCACTTTTTACATGTTTTTCACTTGACAGAAAGGATGTGAACAAATGTGTCAGATATAGCGAGAGGTAGCTATCTAAATATTTTCCTAATATGTTTTTAAGTAGAAATATAGTAATCAGAGTACTGTTTATCCTGGGAATGTTGCTTTTGCGACAGCTACTGCATTTTAGAATAAAATAAAAATAAAATACTTAAACAAATATTTATATAACATAAGAAGTAAGACTATGAATGAAAAATAAATACATAATAAAGAGTTAGAGTACACCTGCATTGAACATTTTACAAAATTAACCTGACAAGAATCTTTTTTGAAACTAGTTTTGATCTTACCTGGCGAGGCTGTCAGAGCCAACATCCCGTAGAAGGAAAACGGTCCCGCTTCAAACTTCATCCCCTCTTTTCCCGCCTCCACCTCCACTTTCCCCTGTGACAGAAAGATAGTGTTACACAAACTATGTTCTTTACTCTGGTATTTACTTTGTCCACATACAGAAAACATATTCATTGTACATTTGCAGTTTGTAACCATAGTGCTTCGTTGTGGATGTCCGCTACAGCTTTGGAGTCACACTTTCACCTCTTTTTAAACCACTTTCCCTGCTATATGTATTCATGCTGCCGTGAGTTTAGAACAAATCCCCCCTTCCTTTTTACTATTTGTAAATCCGTACTCTTGTTTAATAGCTTCCGATCTGCTGCAAAACCCTGGTCTGAAGGTCATTGACCCAGAACCCCACTTGTTCAATCTGGACCTTATTTGATCCAGGGATATTACACATATTAACTAAGTGGGTGCATAAAGGAAGTGTCTGCAAAATATTAGATTTTATATGGATTCAAACATGACTTTCAACTCATATTTAGTGCCAGTGAGTAAGGTATTCTTCTGATCCAATGTATTCAGAGACAGAGCGCACAATTAAAACCAGTTTTCAAACTGTTTGGCTACATGAAGCTCGGCAGCTTTTGTTTTGATCTGCTTTTGAATAAATAAGTGTAGCTCTGTAGGGGGATTTATTTTAGTTGCCTGCAAAGAGAGATTGGTAAGGACAGTAGCATGACATTTTGATCATTTTGAATATGAAAACAGACATATTTTAACTTTTGATTGGTGTTTTTTTCTGGAATTTACACTACCGTCAAAAATGAATACATCATGTCTTCTTATATTGTTCATGTTCTTATTATGAGGTTAATATAATGTCGCTCTCCAAATTAACTTCTGAATGTTGCACAGCATTTTTTTAAATGTGTATATAAAAGTTGCACTTGGAATTATTATTATGATACTTTTGTAAAATGATATTCCAGCAGGGATGACATTTCTAATAACTCCAGAGGGTTTTAAAGTTAATATGTTTTGGTTGGGAAAAAGCTAATATAATTTCTCTTTTTTTTCTATGTCAAACTATAAATAACATTTTCACTGTGGACAGAGACAGTTTGCTCCCCCCCTGCTGCACACAAAGATAAGAAAGAACAGTGGGCAGACATATCTCCGGCCAGACATTTGTATTGCTAATGAGCTGTTTATCTTGGGTACTGCTTCTTGCTTTAATCCTAACTGCCCTGCAGTACAGTCATACCATGCATACCTCTTCAGGATGCCCCTGTGGGAACAAACCTGCAGTACAGCTCTGTTAGGAGGATGGCTTTACTGTTCAAAACTATGGGAACAAGGGAAATAGAGTGTGTAGCACTAACATTCTATGTAATGTAAAAAGTAGTTTGATCAATTACTGTGATGACTGAATGATAAATTGTCCTTCAGCATGTTACACAAATTGCTTTTTGAGCAGTGGGTCTGATGTTGGACCTTTTTTCTTCACTTTGTATCTCGTTGTTTCCACACACCTGCAATAGGAGGATGAAGTAATCCACGGGCTTGTTCCTGTGGAAGAGGTAGTGCTCCACCGCCCGCTTGTTCTTTTCATCGTATTTTAACTCCTGGATGACGTTGGGATGCTTCAGCAGGCGCAGCAGAATCTTTTCTGACATTTGCATCGGTGTGAAAGGCTCGATCTCTGAAGAACCGGGGAGAGACAGAGAGGGAGACTGTAAGGAATTTGAGATATCAATTAAAATCCAACACGTATATATGGGGCTTATACCAATGTTAATATACTAGTTAAAATATATATAAATATTGTAATATATTGGCCCACAGCATTTTATTTACACAACAAATACAGGACAACAATGTTTTTTATTAAGTGCTATAAGGACAGTCAAAACATTTATACCACGTCATCTTCCAGAATAATTGTGATGGACACTTTATACTGTAATCTGACTTTTTTCAATAAATAAACATCAAATGGGCCGACTGGGCCTCGTGCGGGGATGACAAATGTTCAATCTTGAAGAGGGCATATAATACTCATTTAACCCTAACCCTATTGTATGTTGTGCCTCTACTGTGACATGTCTCCATGCTTTAATGTTCAAAACTTTGACATTTTTTTCTCATACTGCCTGTGCTGCAGCCCCTCTTTTCACCCTCTGTCTGAAACCAGAGCCCAGTCTACTCTGATTGGTTAGCTGGCCGATGTGTTGGAGCGCTAGCCAATAGGAGCACGAGTGTTACATAGTGATGTCACTATGTTCCATAACTAAACCAAGGAGTCCGATGGAGGTGTTTCAGGCAGGGAGGTAATGTGTGGGAGAAAAAAAAATCCCTCTTGAGAAATGGACACACTTTTGGGGGTGAAATGTTCCTTTAAAAGTTTTTATTTATCCAATTCTAAGGGTGTGATATGTTACCATATAATGCTAGATTTGTCCAAGGGAACTAAAATCCAAACCTGCCCAATTTAAATATTTTTAAACAACCATACTGGGACTGATCTGCTTCAACCAGCTGATGGGCCAATCAGCTCGTTCCGCTGAGCGGCGGTGATATGTGTCAGCTGGCTCCACCACCAGCAACTAAACTCCCTAATAGCCTTTAGAGGAACTTAATCATCGCTTAGCTGCTAGGTCAAAGTTCTGAAGCAAATCCAACTGCAATGAGGCATCGTGAACCTCTGCTGCTGTAGTAGTACTCGGATACTCTGCCACCTGAACAGAAATCCATTTCCCCAGGGAACGCGGGTGAAATATTTCACATTTTACACTAAGTATGTCGACTTGTGTGAGAACCACGATCATAGGCCAAAAATGCTGGATGTGATGTCACTGAGGAACGCGTGTAAGCAAACAGGGTGGTGTTTTTAAAGCTGTGAGCTAAGATCTCAACATGTAACCTCCAGAGCATGACACGCAAGCAAATAGAAGCCTGCATTTTTTGGGGGGGGATCTGTGCGCAGTCTGCACAGACATCCCGTGTCGCGCTGCCGAGAGGCCTTCACCACCTCTACACACAAACCAACACACTTGTTGTGAGTCCCCACACAACTCATTCCCTCACACACACAAACAACAGATACTCATTCCACACACATACTCACTCTTCCCTACACCCACTTGCCCAAAACTCAAAGCCCATACTGGCACATGCTCGCTCGCTCGCTCGCACACACACACACACACACACACACACACACACACACACACACACACACACACACACACACACACACACACACACACACACACACACACACACACACACACACACACACACACACACACACACACACACACACACACACACACACACACACACACTTTCCCCGCAGCGATGGGGCTGAGGGCACACTGGGGGAAGTCAAGCAGCAACACAGCCCACTTGCCTGTTGCTAGGAAACGCAGGGTAGCCAGCAGAAGCTGAGGTGATATTTTAACCTTCATTTCATTGTCGTTAGGCTTGAAGGCCGAGAAATCCTGCTTCCTCTCTCGATGGGTGATTTTCTTCTTCGTCTTGTTGTCAGCTGAGGAGGGGAAATTAAAAAGTAAGTCACAAACTAAAAAGTTATAGTGGACCCACGCCACTCCACAGACTGTGAGCTCGTCCCCCGGGTCACAGGGTGACTAAACTTGAGTTACCCAAAGCTTATTGCTTTTTCCTGAAATGTAGCTGTGGTGTTCTTCTCAGAACTAAAAGGGAGCTATAGGGGGCTACACTGTTAGCTTACCACATTCTTAGCATTACTTAAAGCCATATGTATTAGGCCAGCAAATAGACTGGCACGTACGCTATATCTGCTGGCCATTACCATCAGACAGCTCATTTGTCGGTCAAATACACTTACACAAAATATAAAACAGATTGTGACACTATAACATTATTGATTTCTCCCTCTGTATATTTGTTTTAAAAAACTGCTTTTTAACTTTTCGGTGTACAACACAACATGATAACCTAATCGAATCTTCTAAAAAAAACGCAATTATTAAACTTAAATTAAATTGTTACACAAAATTATGATACACAATAATCCACATGTAATGAAAGGGATCTCTCGTATTGATGAACCAGCAATTCCTATCGATTCCTCCCCGTTTTAGCATATTTCAGCTCTATTGTTTTGGTTTTCCTGCTGGAACTTCACTGTTTCGGTTTACACTCACCGAGGCAGCATTGACATATCTATAAAAAACTACAGTAGTGCACCTACCTACTACTGCTACGAACTGCAACGTTAGCAATTAGCTATAAACATTAGTTGTAAACAGGGCCGCCCCTGGCCAACTTGGGGCCCCAAGCGACATTGTGAGATGAGCCCCCCCCCCCCCCCTTCGAGTGATGTTCTAGTTTCTTCATGTTTTGTTTTTTTTCCCTCTTGCTTGACTGAAACTGTCTTTTCGCCGACATCTCTTCACCTGCACTAGTGGCCATATCAAAGCCGTGATTGGTCAGATGTCGATTCATTGCAACGGTGTCGAGTTACAGACGTACTCCCCTTGTCACCTCTCACTCTCGCGTGTCAGCGGGGGGTGCGCGGAGAACTGCACGGCAGTACTCCGGTACTCCGGTACTGTGCACAGCAGCTGAGGCTCTCTGGGCGGGGCCCCCTGCGCAAGGCGGGGCCCCATGCAGCCTGCGTGATTGGCCTGTAGGGAGGGGCGGCCCTGGTTGTAAATGACCTAACAAAGTTGCCTTATTTAAGAAGAATAACTTAATTAATTTCATAATTTAATACAATAAATAAATACTTTATTCAATGTAATATTGAAATCGTTAAACAGTTTAGTTTTATATGTTACACCGATGTGCAGACAGGTAACTATGCTTTGTGACCGTAAGGGTTTGTTGTTTTTGGTGCCTCGGAACTAATGTTTGTTCATGTACTAGTACTGCGTGTTTTGTTGACGCACTAGGCAACTCAACGTGGGTAGACGTCTTTATTATCAGCAGAAGAAGAACTTTCAGGATTCAAATAATCTCCTTTCACAACAATCGGCAAACAAGGTATTTGTTTCATGTGGGCGCCATGTCCTATTTTCTTTAATTTATTGAGGGGAGACTACAAGATTATCTCCAAGAATAAACGCCCGTTTCAAAGAACCGACCTGTGTCTGTTACGTGAAGAGAGCTACATTCGTTTTTAAGAAACTAACAATTTCTCAGATGAGATGGTACTAAACGGAGCAGAGTCCAGATGATAATTATTTGTGGGTTCATCAATACAAGCAATATCTTTTCAATTACATGTCATTTGATCCATTGGTAGTATAACAATATTGATAATTAAAATGTATATTAGGCGCATGAAAACATTTTTTTTCCCTCACTTACAAATTCTAGCATCAGATATATTTATGATGCTAATTTTGGGGCCTGTTTTCTGTCACATGTTTGTATCATGATATATTGTGCCATGTGCCATTTAGGTGTAGCAGCATTGGTGTTTATTTGAAAGCCCCCGAAAGGACACAACATTTATATTTAAATACATTTGCTGCTGGGTTAGCGTACATTAAGTTGGTTAAGATGGTCCCCATCTAACCCTAATTGTTAAATAGAGCCCTGATACTTTAACAGGCCATATACCTGTTGTGGTCCTACAGTACGTGAGAGAGAGGGACTTACTGTACAGGTCAGTCTCGTCCAGGATCTCCGACTTGATGATTTCTTCAATAACGTCCTCCAGGGTCACAATACCCAGAACCTCGTAGAAAGGGTCTCCCTCACCCTCGTTGTTCACCCTCTGAACTATGGCCAGGTGGGATTTACCTATCAAAACACACAGATACACACATCATATAAAGTCAGGGTCATACATTGATAAAGGGAGTTATATAGTATAGTAAAAAAGGTCAGGTGATGATGGAGGTACAAGGGAACATACGTACAGGCAAGGAAACACATGGCTATATCCACTTTGATTTGAAAAGTTTCTCTTTTTAACACCCTGTATCATACAGTAGGTCAATAGTGGTATTTTATATTGTGAAATAGGGCTGCTCAATTAATCGTATTTTAATCGCAATTACGATTATGGCTTGCAACGATTACGAAAACAACGTTTTTTTTTTAATAGTTTTTTTATTATTGGTTTTTCAGTAGAGTTATACTTAAAGTTCAGGGTAATCAACTGTTAAAAACATACTGTTCACATTTTTTTTTCTCCAATAAATTGATGTTTTCAAAGTATCAATTATTGACCCAAATAGAGATTATGATTTTTGCCATAATCGAGCAACCCTAGTTTCTAGTAAAACATCTTTAAGAGATGACATGAGCAGCCCTACCAGCATTTGCCATGGTGGCCAAAACATTTGTATTTGGTCTTAAATTGTAGTTCAACATTTATTTCCTGTTACTTCTGGACCATGACGGTGGGCCAGCCTTTAATGTTTAACAGAGTGGAATATGTTGAATATGTTTTACCAAAATGTTGGCTATATGTTAAGGAGTTTTCAGGTTGTGACAGTGCACTGCAACATGTTTGTTGATCTTGTTTATTGGCATTTATTATTTTGATATTATTTATTTAAATGTAGATATGAATGTATAATTTATTTTATATTGGTTTTTCAATTGATTACCCTGAACGTATAATTCAACAGTTAAAAAGTTCAAATTATTATTTGTTTTAAAGTACAATGAAAGGATGTTTTCAAAGTCAATGAATAATCGCATTTAACAATCGCAATTACAATTATTGACCCAAATAATCGAGATTATGATTTTTGCCATAATCGAGCAGTCCTACTGTGAAATAGAAAAGAAAAAAAAATCACTTATGTCAGCTAAGACTCACAGAACACTGATGCTGCAGTTTGTCATACAGCAGGTGACACTAAGTGATCTGAAGGAGGAATCTTTTCTCTATATCAGTTAAAATAACCAGGGATGCAGGACAATGGTAGTTCAAGTGTTTACAGTGCCAGCTCAAACAGCCATAGAGACATTCAAAGTGACAGTCAAACAGTCAGAATGTCATCATATAGCTCCCCTTAGCCCTCCCTCCCTCCACATCTGTGTTCCCAGGACCCTCCTGTGAGCCGTACCATCCGGGGGAAAAAGGAAAAAAAGAAACAAACTGCCGTGTATGCAGAGAATACTGTCAAGCAAAACACTAAACAAATTCTTTGCCTTTTCTCAGCTTGTGATCATTTAAAAAGGAATTTTCCAGAGGCCCAGGCTAATATTAGCCCGTTCAAAATGAAGTTTCCATTCCGCCCCGGCGATATTCTCACCGAGCGGAGGAACAGACCCGGCGAAGCCTCCGCTGTGTGATCAGATTGTCTCGGAATGGGCCGTTTGCATGCAGATACTCCAGTGTGTCAGAGTGCATGAGTGTACGAGCGCACAAGCCTGTGTGTGTGAGTGTGAGTGTGAGTGTGAGTGTGAGTGTGAGTGGAGTGTGGTGTGAGTGTGTGTGTGTGTGTGTGTGTGTGTGTGTGTGTGTGTGTGTGTGTGTGTGTGTGTGTGTGTGTGTGTGTGTGTGTGTGTGTGTGTGTGTGTGTGTGTGTCTGTTTCTGGAGAACACAGGTATATCACTGAGTCAGTGCTCACATGCTGTTTCAGCTAATGTTGGCTGCTTTGGTGCAGGGCTGAGGGCTGAGCAGCACTGATTGTTTTATTGCACTGACTGCAGCTTCCACACTGATGTGCAGAGCCTGAGAGCATCAACGTGAGAATGTTGTGAGCATTACATGCAGAACTGTGCTTTCAAAACTTGCTTACACTTAATAGCCTGGCAGGGAAAGGTATTTATAATGTAAACACCAGAAATCCAACATGAAACATAGTTTTTCAAATGGCAGGAAATCTGGGAAAAAGGTAAAGGCGTCCTATTTCTAGTGAAATGTCAATGAGATCTTGAGCGTGCTCTTTGTCACTGAGGGTTGGGTTTAACCAGGACAAACACACATGGAGCCTCAGTGGGTTAAAGCAATCAAGCCTCAGAAGTCCTTGGGCAAGCAATTTACTCTACAAAGCAGAGTACAGTGAAACAGATCAATGCTACTTCCTTCTCTTCAATGGTATCCACTCCACTCATTGCAGGTGGTAGTCAAACTTAATGTCACATAATTATACTGTTAGAGTGAACAGAACATGAAAATCCAGCTGGGAAAGTGAGATTACCTAATTTAAAATGGTTAGTTTTTTTGCACAAATACACTTGTCAAGACTTTTTTCTGTATAACATTGGAGTCTTTATTTATTTCTTAATATTTGAAGGAATACATTTTTGGAAATAATTTCGTTATCTTTAGATGAACATACACCACGTTCATGTCTGTATGATAAATATAAAGCTTCTGTCAACGACCAGTTACCTTAGCATTAGGAATCAAAGAAAGAAGGATACCGCTAGCCTGTGCAAAGGTTAAAAAATCTACCGACTAGCCAGGCAATAGTTCACTTATATCTTACATGCTATTCCATAAAAGAAACATGGTTTGAATAGGACATTTCTGTTGTTGCTTTTCTGTACTTATGCTAAGCTAAGCTAACCAGCTGCTGGCTTCAGCTTCAAATGTATAATACAGACAATGAGTGGTAATGATTTTCTCATCTAACTCTCAGCAAGAAAGTTTACTTTACCAAATGGTTAAACTATTCTTCTAGGGGATGTGGTGGTAAGCAAAAGTTAAGGTTGACCAAATAAATCTTAAATTAAAACTTTGTCAAGAGCTTTCAAGAACAAACCGTTATGTCTGCTTCCGTCTGGCAATGTTTTATTCTACTCTCTTCTACTCTGTTTCTTCTTCAGACTTACATTTGTTTGAATACTTATATATAAGGCTGCATTGTTGGAGGATCTTGGGACTTCAGAGTTTCATTGCCATATCTATGTAGCTACTGTGCATATGACAAAAAAGCCTTTGAATCTTGAATCTCTTGAATCAACCTCTTCAAATATCATATGCATAATTTCCAAAGAATCCCTCATTTCTGTTTAGGCATTACAATGTTTTATCTAGAACTACTTTACAATGAGCAACTACTGTGTGATTTAATTGAAAGGTCAGAAAAAAAGATGTGGACCTTGGGTTGAGACCATCAGCAAGGACTTTGGCACTCAACACCAGTTGATACAACTCTTTCAAATCACTACATAATGCTCAACTGAGCAAGAATCTTGACTGAACAACATTAAAAGTCAAATCAATAATCAAAGTTGAGGTCTTAACTTTTTTTGTTTAACCATTGTCATACTGATATGTACACACTGTGAAGTCCACTGAGACAAATGTAACATTTGTTATATTGGGCTATATAAATAAACATTGATTGATTGATTAACAAAAAGTGATCATTCCAAAGACATAAAAAAGGCCTGACCTACGACTTTTAAATGAGCCACCTGATAAGAAATGGAGGCCATCACTGATACCACTCACCATCTGTTCAGCTCTACAAGCTCACACTCACTAAACACACATGGGACAGCGCGAGTCACTTGTTTGACAAGTTAAACTAATCCCATCAGGATGTTTGTTCCCATCAAGAGCACTTTCTATCACCTCCTTCAACACAAAAGTTGACATGGAGTTAACCATTAGAGATGACCCGCTTTAACAGAGGAAGCATAGGTCACTAGTGGAAGGAGAAAGAAAGGGGGGGAAATGGGAAGCTAATCATTTTAAATGACAAAAAGTAAATATGTTTATGCAAAATATAGGAGTGTTTATCTCCCAGTCTTTCCAGTGGGCTATACAAAAAGAACAAAGACATTTCTCAAATTCCTTGCATATGACAGCAAAGTGATATGGATACACCCATCATTCCATCATACTATTTGGTATGTTTCATGGAAATAGAAACTAGTGACATCTATTGAGCACATATTTTGCCACAAAGTGCCAAAAATGGCAATGTCTGTCACAGTGTTGGTTAAGCAACCACTTTATGTAACAAGTGTCCATCTGAGATATGTAAACGAATATTGGATGGATTGCAATTCATGTTTGTACAGACCATGATGTCATGAAGTCCTTACTTTTCCAATAACGCCATCAGCGACTGAGATGTGTTTATCCTGTGAAATATTCCCATCTTCTACATGGATTGGCACAATGTGCGGAACAGACATTCAAGAAATGGCTACGATATAACAAATTGTAAGGACTACAAAGTGGTTAATTCCCATTTCCCATGGGTTAAATTGGAACAACTTTGGGGAACTCTTGACAACCATGAACAGGTCAAAGTTTTCCCTTACTCTGAGATGTATCTGAACCATAATTGGTGGATTGGTACAACATGAAATTCACATCAGCCTTAGCTGTGCTTTTTGTGATAACTAACACATGTTAGCATGTGTTAACTCAGATGTCACCATACTAAATATTACCTGTTAACACCAACATGTTAACATTATTTTTGTGAGCATGCTAGCAAGCTGATGTTAGCATTTAGCTCAAAGCATCACTGAGTCTAAGAACAGTCCTGTTAGCGTGGTTGTAGACCTTTAGAATTGCCATGAGCAAGACTTAAGGTCAGTAGAAATGTACAAAAGTTAATGGCAATTAACAATTTTTGGACTTTAGTGTTGGAGTGATGGACAGCCATCCCCAGAGCCATGCTTCAAACATGGGTACATTCATGCAGACAGACCTATCTGAATACAACCAGATATATATACAGCTTCTTTTCTTTTTTTCACTCCAAAATATAAATGTATTTATTTTAGAATGCTGGTGAGTGTTTTGTGTCATGTAACATATGTCAGTACTTTCTCTGAATATCGACTGACAGAACATAAGTCTTTATACTAA